TTTTTTGGTACCAGGTATCGAACTAGGGACCTTGCGCTTGGAAGGCAGGGATGGGAACCACTGAGGTAAATCCCTGGCCCAGAAGCTTTTTATTTCATTTATTTATTTATTTATTTTTGGTACTGGGGATCAAACTTGGGAACTTGTGCTTGCGAGGCAGGCGCTGGAACCACTGAGCTAAATCCCCGGCCCCCCAGAAGCTTTTTAATAAGATGAGATCCTAGGTGTTGATTCTTTGTGTTACTGAGGTTTTGTTCATAAAGTTTTCCTACGCCAATGTCTTCAAGAGTTCTACCTAACTTATCTTCCAGCAAGTTTAGTGTTTCTGTTTTAATAGATCTTTAATCCACTTCAATTTTAGTTTAGTGCATGGTGAAAGATAGGGTTCTAGTTTTAATCTTTGGCAAGCTGAAATCCAGTTTTTCCAGCACCATTTATTAAAGAGGCTATCTTTCCTCCAATGAGGATGGTTGGCTCCTTTGTCAAAGAAGTGGTAGCTGAGTGTGTCTGGAGTTCTCTCTGCATCTTCTAATCTATTCCACTGATCCTCGGGTCTGTTTCTTTGCCAGTACCATGCTGTTTTTATCACAGTGGCTTTGTAGTACAGTTTCAAGTTGGGAATTGTGATACCCCCCGCCATGACCCTGTTGCCTAGAATTGCTTTTGCTATTCTAGGTCTCTTCTGGTTCCAGACGAACTTTTGGATTGTTTTCTCTAGTTCTGTGAAATATGCTGTTGGGATTTCAATCGGGATTGCAGTTTTGGAAGTATGGCCATTTTCACTATATTGGTTCTTCCTACCCAAGAACAGGGGATGTCTTTCCATTTTCTTTTTTTTTGTACTGGGGATCGAACTCGGTACCTTGCACTTGCACAGCAGGCGGTGAAACCACTGAGCTAAATCCCCGGCCCTCCATTTTCTGATATCCTCTTCAATCTCTTTTTTCAGAGTGCTATAGTTCCAAATGTAGAGGTCTTTTGCTTCCTTCATTAGATTGATTCCTAGATACCTCACTTTTTTGGTGCTATTGTGAAAGGAATTGTTCCCCTACTTTCTCTTTTGGTGAGTCTGTTATTTGTGTATGAGAAGGCTATTGAATTTTGAGTGTTGACTTTGTATCCAGCTACTCTACTGAATCTGTCAATTAAGTCTAGAAGTCTTTTGGCGGAGTTTCTAGGGTCTTCTATGTAGAGTATCATATCACCAAATAATGACAATTTAACTTCTTCCTTTCCTATCTTTTATTCCTTTTATTTCTTTCTCTTGTCTAATTGCTGTGGCTAATGTTTCCAAAAGTCTATTGAACAGGAGTGGTGATAGTGGACATCCTTGTCTTGTTCCTGATTTTAACGTGAAGGTTTTCAGTTTTTGACCATTTAGTATGATGTTGGCTGTTGGTTTTTCATAGATAGCCTTTATCAAGTTGAGATAAAGACCATCTATTCCAATTTTCTGCAGGGTTTTTATCATGAATAGGTGTTGAATTTTGTGGAATGCTTTTTTTGCATCTACTGAGATGATTATATGGTTTTTTTCCTTGGCTCTCTTAATATAGTGTATTACCTTTTTTGATTTATGTATGTTGAACCATCCTTGCCTCCCTGGGATAAGTCCGACTTGGTCAGGGTGTATGATCTTCTTGATGACCCTCTGTATTCTGTTTGCCAATATCTTACTGAGAATTTTTGCATCTATGTTTATTAGGGAGATTGGCCTGTAGTTCTCTTTTTTGGTTGGATCTTTCCCTGGTTTTGGAATCAAAGTAACACTTGCTTCCAGGAATGAATTTGGAAGTATTGCTTCCCTTTCAATTTCATTGAAAAGTTTAAAGA